AATTCCCTACATTCCTTGGGAAGCAGAGAAAAAAATGTTCAAAATAAACGCTTTACTCAGTCAATGATATGATGTATAAATAAAAAATAACGAGACTAATTCCACGTATCACACATGCAAATCAATTATCATAAATCATAACTTTAGGCTACCTTAACTCTACATGATGCTTTCCAATCATATCAGTATATTTAGCAGTATATTTATCAATATATATGTATTCTATGTTTATCAGTGATGTACTTAAGCAGAAAGTGGCAGAATAGGGGAAGAGTACTAATGCCAGAAGCATCTGAAGAGTCTAGCAGTGGGTTTAATCATTAAATTCACTTTTCATTAACCACATGCTAGGTAGCCTGGATGAATTTAATTTGTGGAAGAAAAAGGTTAATAGATGGTAACTTCAAGTAGAGGTTATAAGTAAACTTACAAAACTAGCAGAAGGCTGAAGAGAGCTAAGAAATTCTTATCAAGATTGTCAAACGCTACACTTAACTAAAAGTCACAGAAAATGTAACAAGGGTGAAGCTAGGGCTTTATGTTAAAATATTCCCTGAAGACCCCTAAGACCAAAGAAATATCAAAACAAAAAATGGTAAGACCAGGAAAAAAATACATTTATGTAAATCATTCAAATACCTACTATGTATCCAGTACTATGCTAGCAGTTTTTGGGAAAAAAAATTATAAAACATAGTCCCTGTTCCCAAAGAGCTTACAATATTGTTAGAAGAACAAGACATATGCATTCTATGTCATGAACATTTAAATAACAATCCAAATAAAGGTATAAGGACACAGGCAGGGGATGGACTGACGTGGATATGAGTGGCTGAGACGGCTTCGTGGCCAAAGCTGAATCTCAGGCCTGCCCTAAAAAGTAGAATTTTAATAAGCAGAAATGGGGAAGGGCATGAGCAGAGGCCAAAGTGTGAGAGAGGACATGACATGTCCCAGACCTGGTGAGAAGCCTGGACTGGGGTTTCTGAAGCAGAGACAGGTAAGGTCAGTCATGTTGGGGAGGGTCTTAAATGCTATCCTTATACAACTTTAAGTCATGAAATGTTTGTGAACATGGCTTACATATTTCAATATTTAATCTGGAGCATGACGTGAAATGTATTTCCATAAGAAACTGTTTCAGAATTAATTAAAGGAAGAGTCAGAACTGGAGGAATAAAGAGTATGTAATTTCACAAGTGATAAGTGGAGCCCTGGTGGTGCAGCGGTTTAGGGCTCGGCTGCAAACTGAAGGACACTGGTTTGAACCCACCGGCGGCTCTACGGGAGAAAGACCTGGCAATCTGCTCCTGTAATGATCACCGCTTAGGAAACCCTATGGGGCAGTTCTACACTGTCCAACAGGGTTGCTAAGAGTCAGAATTAACCTGACGGCACACAACAACAGCACAGACCAGAAGTTCTCAAAGCAGACCTGCAGATCTCCTGAGGGAGTCTCTAAGGCCCTTGCAGAGGATCAGCCAAACCAAACCAAACCCGTTGCCAATGAGTCGATTCCAACTCATAGCGACCCTATAGGACAGAGTAGAACTACCCCACAGGGTTTCCAAGGGTGGCTGGTGGATTCAAACTGCCAACCTTTTGGTTAGCAGCCGAGCTGTCAAAATTCTTTTCATAATACTTCTAAGATGTTATTTTCCTATTTCATTGCACTAAAGGTACAAAAGTAATGATAAGTAAAACTGCTGGTGTCAAGACATTTAGAAAAGTCACAAGTGTAAGTAGTTGATAAATATTTCTATTATACAATTTTTCACCTGAAATATGGAGTAAAAAGGTACTATTCTAATACACTTTTTAACTCTGTATTTCAGGTAAAAAACTGTTTAATAGACTACACAGAGCCCTGGTGGTACGGAGGTTAAGAGCTACGGATGTTAACCAAGAGGTCAGCAGTTCGAATCCACCAGCCATTCCTTGGAAACCCTACGGGGGCAGTTCTACTCTGTCCTAGAGGGTCGCTATAAGTTGGAATCGACTTGACAGCAATAGGTTTCGTTTAAGTTTTTATTCTAATATACAGGGAAGATTATGAGAAATATAGTAACATTCTCTAAAAATTAACTATGAAATCTACAAATTCTAGGGTTGAAGATCTATAACGTAATCACAACTAAGGGTTTAAGAAAAATGGATAAGTCTACCTCAAAATTATCATTTAAAAGATTTTGGATTTAGAAAGCATTTATTGAATGTTTTTAAAAAACCAAAGGATTTCTTTCATGGCTACAATAAAAATAAATCATCAACTAACAATGATGAGGCAAAGGAAATGTAATCTTCCTCTTTTATAAAAAGCAAAATTGATTACTGAAATAAATATTCAAAAAATTTAATAAAGGAAAGCTACAAAGTATTGATAGTTGTATTATAACTATGTAAACATTGGCATCTACAACTTGACTTAAAATGCAAAAGAAAAATACGGGCTGAATGGAAAACTATTCAGGAGTCAAAGGAATGTCAGCCTATGTGAGAGGCAAGTCCAGGCAGCGGGAGGTGGTGACAAGCAGGAGGAGAGGAGCAAGGGGTGAACAGCTTGCAGTGATGGTGAAATACTTCTCTTCAGAAGGCATTAGGAGCAGGACCAAGGACCCTGGGGCCTTGGCTGCATTGTGGGCCAGGCAGAGTCATCCAAACAAGTTCTTGGAACATTCCCATTCCTGCCTCAGGCCTAAGACACACACGGAAACCAGAGCAGGGGGTTTTATAAAAGTACTGCACAAAATAAACTGGCAGTTTGAGGTAAAAAAACACAAGAGAAGAGGATTTGGTATGTGCAAACTCGGCTGTCACTTATGTCAACACATGGCAAAGAACTTCCACATTCTTATTTCTGCAAGTCACTCTTACACGTTTGTGAGGCTTCCACTCCCAAATACCAGGAGCCCAGCACTGTCGGCCTCAGCCATGAACCAAGAGAGAACAGCTGTACTAAATCCCCAGAGCCGGGAGAGATGACAGCAGTGGCTTGGGTATCAGTCCTAGGAATGCTTCTTATTGTAATCAAATCTGTACCTCTATGTGTCTTGCTGATAGAACAAGAACCCGTATGTAGGTCAGGAGGAAATGAAGTTTTATATACAACCTATGCTTTTTATATACTCCAAATCAGGTCAGATGCTGTTTCAGGACAAAGCAAGGAGTATAGAAGGTTTGATGAGCAGGAAAACGTTGGTGAGAAGGCTGCTCATGTATGGGAGCAAAACATTATACTTCTCTTGAGTGAGCACTAATCTTTTGGCTTAGTGGGAAAAACACTCAAGACTCGTAGTGATCACTTATGAGAGAAAAAGGCAAGGAAGTAAAAAAGGTACCAGGGAGAGTCGAATTTGTGATCTTCTCTCAAGAGCAAATTATTACCAAGTTTAAAAGTAGCACATTGACTTACCCGGAAAACATCTGTCTTGTTTTCAAAAAGACTGACAAAATATTTATAGTCGGCATAAGCCCAGAACTGGGAATGATCATAATTCCTAAATGGTCCAGAGCCACGAGACTGGTCACAGTTCCAGTTCAGAAACTCTTCAAGTGTAGCTTCCACGTAACTACATGTGGTTTCAAACTGAGGGACTGCAATGGAAGAGAACCCAACTTTAAATGAATATTAAACACAGTTTCCAAATATGTTTTTTAAAGGAAGACAATTTCAACAATTTTAAAAAATGGTAACCATTGTTTAACATTAATTATATATTTTGTACTTGCTATATAGTTAGAATCACTCACCTCACAATACTAATGATTAAATACGAAAGTAATAACTACTGTGCCTAAACTAGTAATCCAGTGGAGTACTTTAGATTATCAATTCTCTAAGACCTTTCAGGGTGTGTGAGTTCAGAACTATTTTCATAAAAATACTAAGCCATTACTGACCTTTTCACTCTCATTCTCTCACAACCATACAGTGGAGTTTTCCAGAGCTACATGACATGGGCTGACGTTGCTGCTCTGAAGGCTACTGGAATATTCTCGGGTTTTAAAATGTTTTACTTTTAATTTCTAATATGGTATCACTAGACATAACCTACATCAACAAAATCTCATTGGAGGTACTCATTTTTTATGAGTATAACAGGGTCCTGAGACCAAAAAATTTGAGAATTTCAGCTTTAGATAAAAAAGGCAAACAAAAACAAGAACAAAAACCCCTGCCTTTTGAAAACTCTGGCTTTACACTGCATATGTATCATCTACAATGCCTCAGAATCATTAAGACGACAATGGCAATTTAAAGTCTGTTCATTTATTCATTAACTCATGTATTTCGGAATCATTTATCAAATACCTAATTTGTAACAGCACTGTGCTCAGGCGTGGGGACATAAAAGAAACAGACAATACTCTTGAGCTTAGACTATATTCAGACAAAGATAAGGCATTAGAGAATGTGAGGGACTATACAATTATATGCAAAATGTGTTGGTATTTCTCGTTTTTTTTTTTTTTGGCTTTAACGAACAGAAATTTATTCTCTCACAGTCTAGGAGGCTGGAAGTCCAAATTCAGATGCCAGCTCCAGGGGAAGCTTTCTCTCTCTGTTGGCTCTGGGTAAAGGTCCTTGTTATCAATCTTCCACTGGTCTAGGAGCTTCTCAGAGCAGGGACCCCAGGTCCAAAGGACACGCTATTCTCCTGGTTCTTCTTTCTTGGTGGTATGAGGGCCCCGTCTCTCTGCTTGCTTCTCTCTTTTATATCTCAAAAGATTGACTCAAGACATAACCTAATCTTGTAGATTGAGTCCTGCCTCATTAATATAACTGCTTCTAATCCTGCCTCATTAACATCATAGAGGTAGGATTTATAACACAAAGGAAAATCACATTAGATGACCAAATGGCGGACAATCATACAATACTGGGATTGTGGTTGGCACAGATTTTTGGGGGACATAATTCAATATATAACATGTATTATACATGTTTTTACAACAATTTAAAAAAAAAAGCTTTGGAAGGCAGGAAATTCCCAGACAAGCTATGGTGGCGTGCGGTTTACATTAACTTTACCCAAAGAATTTAGTCGTTGTTCTCAGTTCCTGAGAGATAATCCCTAACAAAACAAAACAAAAAAATCTTAGAATTTAAGTGTCTTGGATAAGGACCCCAGACCATGTCTAACTATTAGGCGAGGTGATTAGGTGACTGTAGGGTGGGGGCCAGGCCAAAAATACCCACCGCATGATATGTTCTGTTCTGGTATTCTTATAAGTGCCATAGACACTTATGAAATGGTATAGACCTCCAGAGATGAGAGAGAGCTTCAAGACATCTATTATGTGTCTACAGTGGTTTGTTATTATAAGTGTGACTCATTTATATAAGCACTGTTCTTCTAAAACAATGATGAAATAAATTATTTGCAACTAGCAGAATATTTTAAATACACATAAGTAAATTGGTATTAAAAAATTGATTATGACCTCCTTTGCAAAACATGAAATTCTTTCAAGAAAGGGTAAAGATCTAATGCATGTAAATTATTTAGAATGGTGCCTGACATATAGCAGATGCTTAGTAAACAGTCAGGTACTAGTTCTTCTTATTATTCATGCATATATTTACTTGGAGTCCTTTTAGTTGAATCAATAAGATGAGGAGAAAGGTGACCTCATTCTTCTTTGGACAGATTTTATCTTTTCCCTCCATTTTTGCTTACCCTACATTAGAGCATCCCAACCATATTTTCCCTTTCCCCTCTTTTTCCTAAAGCCTCAGAATGGCAGAGAAGTGGGAGAGGGCAGGGTGTGCATCAGAGTCATCCTAACTCATCTACTTTATCAACTTGTCACCTGACTCTGAGAGTGGGAGAACTTTATTAGGGTACATTCATCTAAAAGATAAAAAACTGCACATTCAAGAATAATTTAAATCTACTGTTGATTATATACTTCCTAAAATAAACTAACAAACATATTACATTCAAGGATGCCAACAGAAATAAAAATATATAGTTATTAGGAAGGAAAACAAAGTTATCATTACTTATAAAATCGTATGCCTATCAATCTAGAAAACTCACAAGAATAAACTAAAAAACTACCTAGACTAATAAGTGGTTGGATACAAAATAAACATATGAAAAATAAATGGCTTTTCTCTATGTACCTATCACAACCAGTTAGAAAACTAACATAGGCAAAACTATTCATAATAGCTATAAAAATCTTATAATACTTTAAGGAATGTTTGGAACCTATATGAAAATTATAAACCTTTATACTGAGAGACAAAATAGGCTTGATAAGTGAAGATA